AGGGCCGCGCGGCGGGCAGAGACCGAGGGCGGCGCGGGGGGGGTGGGGCGGGGGGGGGGCGGGGGGGTTTACTGAATGTCCTGACACAATCAGTCAGTTGCCTGGCAGTGCAGGAATTGTCCAGGAGCAGCCAGTACAGCCGGTGGAGCAGTAAAGGAACAGACCCAATATAAACAGCCTTATGCTGCAGCCACAGGGAGGAGCTATAGAGCAGATGCACAGATTCACTAGCTGTAGCAAACATTACACACGTTCACACACTCATTTGTAGCACGAAATCTAATGGATGCACCCAGTGACATCAGTGTATTGTAGGGCCTCTGAAACACTGGCTCACCTTCCTCCATCACAGAGCTCAGGGCTTTTCATCTTTTATCATCTTCTCTTTCCTATGCTTTCCTCCACTGCGTTTCTCTGACTGCCTACATCCTTTGCACACGACTCCAACCCTTCCTATTGCCCTCCATTTTTTTCTCTTTTCATCTTTTTTTCCCCTCTCCTTCCACCTCAGCTCTATATTTTGCCCTGTGTCCTCTGTGCCAGCAGGATATTCCCCTGATTTAGCTTTTCATTTCCCTCCTCTATCACACTCTTATCCCCTTTTCCTCACTCTAGCCTGCAGCCCCTGGTTCACTTTCTGCCCTCTAGCTTTCATCACTCCATTCCCTTTTATTTTCTTCGCTTTCTCCACATTGCATTTTCACAGCGTGTTACCTTGGGGATTTCAAGGAGGCTTAAAAGGAGCTGAAGGGAGAAAGCATCTCTAGTTGTGTATATTATGCGCCCCCTTGTGTTTGCCTAAAATGGACAAGGAACAGGGAAAATGACAGTCGACTAATTACCACCAATACCAACTTTTTACCTAAAACAGTTAGTGCCATGCAGGCACACAGGAGTTGAAGCACACACAGACTGGCTCAGAGAATCCTGCGGGGCTCCAGATCAATATATCATTCATTTTTAACAACAACTAAATGGATAAAACCCAGTCAGTTAGACCCTCGCAGTATCAACACAGTCGTGGGGTCTCGGACAGACCTCCATTCTGGACACTGCAACACTGACCATATTTCCAGGCAGTGTGTCAGTGTGTAAGAGTGTGTTTGCAAAAGCAGCACATCCAGTTGCAGCAGAAGAACGGGGGATTTGTCACGCAATGATCTGCTTAGTAGAGAGTCTGGAGCAAGTAAGAGTGTGTGTGTGTGTGTGTGTGAACGTTTGTGTGGAGAAAAGTGCATCCTATGGATGGTGTTTGTGTTTAGCATCAAAATATATGCAGTCAAAGGGTTAAAAGTTGTGTTCAGCCAAACATTGGTGATTTGTTCAGCCAAGCAGTAAACGGGGGAAGGACTCCAAGGACTGGGAGGGTGCAGGGTTAGAGAGGGTTTGTGTGTGCTTTAAAGCGTTGCATTAAAATTTCAGATCACAGCACGCCACACAGTCAAGGACCCTGACTGCCTGAGGCTCACGAGTGAGAGAATGAGTGTGTGTGTATTTGTATGTGTGTGTGAGTATGTGGGCGGCCGTGTGTTTATTAGGTTTTGTAAGCAAATGGGGCCCACTATATCTGCTTTTTAGGATGGGCTTTCTTCTAACATAAAAGGATGAGCAGAGAGGAGAAGGAAGGGGAAGAAGCTCTGTACAGTCACAACAAAAGGAAGTAAATGGGAAAGTCTGAAAGACTATGAAACCTATTGATTACAGCCATTTACACTACATGTTACATTTTCCCGTGACCCTTCCTCTGAGCTACACAACTGCACAATACAAGAGCTAAAAGATAAGAGTGTGGGAGTGATGGAAGGAGGGAGGAAAAAACAGGGAAAAATGTTGTGAGAATGAGAGCAGAGGGATCAATCTGTTTTTAACAGCCAATCAATTTAACAACTCTGTTAATGGAGACAAAGTGAGTTTGGGGCACGGTAAAGTGGGTAGGGAAAAACCTTAAAAGCCAAGTTGACACTGCTCTAGTGTGTAAAGGGTGTGAGTTGGACGTCCTTGATTGTCTTAGAATAAAAAATTTCTACTATATAGGCAATTTTCTGTTAGAGGTAAAATATTACACACAGCTATATAAAAATGATAAGAATGAATTCCTTTATAATTTCAACACTATGAAACGCTGACAACATCAATGTTTGTCTATTCAATCAATGTTATACCTCACCTTAGTGTTCTTTATTGTTTTTATTAAATTCAAACAAAGAAGTTTCGCTAACCACTTAGCTAATTCGTCTTTTGTTTTAACAGCATTGCTGCACACATTTAGTGGCATTACTGCCATCCACTGGCCCTAATGTCCACCACTACATATCTTGGCCAAACACAGCCAGATCAGTCGTTCTATGCCAACAAATTAGGCACCACACGTTTTCCATTCTTTGGATAATTAAAATTTAGTTGACTTTTTCTTTTTTTTTTGAATAGTCCTACATACTCCACCAAGTATCAAAAAGTACAAGGAGAGCACTTGGTTTAAACACGTGAGCTTGCTGGTGAGATGCTGTATCTATTAAAATTTTGAGCCCACAGCATGAACCTGCTAACTCCACGCAGCTTTTGTGCTCACGTGTCACCGTATGAGAAACACTGCTTTGACCCATAGACCTCAACACCAGAGATTTGATTGTTTGAAAAACACACAAAGCTGATGTTAGGTCAGCAGAAAAAGGCTTTTTAAATTTATTTCTATCTTCCTATAATAACTAGGCACAGTCTGATACTTCATTCAAACACTAGCTCTCAAAAACACGTGCCGATCCAGCTACTCCATGACGGCTTTTTACCAGAACCAGATGGCACTGGTCAACCAGTGTTGTGTGTTTTCTGAATTCAGTTCAGTGTCTTATTGTCCTGTGTAATTTCATTTAAATAAATCAACAATGTCAGCAGTTTGAATGAATTTTAACACCAGGAACAAAGACCGGAGCCGGACTTACTCTAAGATTAGTTTTGTTTTGATACAAGCAAAAACACCACCTGAAGACGAGCCTTCGCTGCATACACTAATGTCTCTTCTCAGTTTAACATCACATTGGACAGATGAGGAGTTCACACCTCACATGAAATAACTCTTTCTCTTCCTGTTTATTATATATTTCTTGTAACCCAACCTAGAGATGTTTGAAAACACTGAAAATACTTTTACTCCTATCAGTTTGTAAAAAATGATATGGTTCCAACGCTCATAATAACATTACACACCATAATATAAAGATATTCAAATCCAACCCATATAATTCATATAATTTGTGTTATGAATGTTTTCTGGATGCTTGAATGTGTCTGGCAGACATTACTAATCTTGGGGGAATGAGGAATGCCACTTCAAGTGCCACGGTGACATGGAAAAAAACTTCAGTTCTTGTCCTCGCTCCTACTATGAGATCAATAATGATAGATGCCCACCACTTCAGTAATTGTAGCCACGTTATCACAGAGATCTTGTTAGAAGCCTGTGTCTGAGCTCCCACAGTGTGGACGTGTGGCCTCTCGAAACAGAGAAAGCCTTGAAATGACTAAATAAAAATAACAAAATAAATAAAGTCTCCTTTTCCTGTGGCTGCTGAATACATTACAGTCCCCTTTTTGTATTTACAGTGCATTAGTGCTGCTTTGGATTTGGGAGCTGCTGAGTAATATGGGAGACAATCCAGCTGTTGGGGAGAACGGGGGAGTTTCCGAGCAAGGATATTGGCTAAACAGGATGATTATGTCCTGACTGAGCTACGATGAAGCCAGAGACAAAAACACACCCACAAACACACACACACACACGCAGAACGGCAAGAAACGTACTTTGCTGTGGATTCCTCGTCATACTTGGTCTTCAAATCAAAGAGTTCGGCCTGAGTTGTTTCAAGTGCTGTGGAAAACAAGATGAGACAAACAAGAACCTCAACCCAGTTGTATGATATATTAAATTATGAAAGTATAAAGATGTTTTAAAACAGTTTTGATAAATGAATTATCTGAGATTTGTGAATTAAAGCGATTTACGGTAATGAAAGTTATTGCCCTACATTTGCTACTATTGTTCTCATCAGCCTGACTAAACCAAGATTATTTTTAACTTGAATATTTTCCTGAAAATGAGGCAACCACTGAACCACTGATAAGGAACACTTGAGGTCCTTATTTGAAAAACTTTAAAATCAACGTGCTTCCCAAGGTGGGAACTTTTTTCAGATGAAAACAAAACTGAGGCCGGTGGCTGTACCTGTCTGTAGGGTCTGGGCCTTTTGCTCAGCCTCTTTTAACCTTGATGACATGGAGTCCTGGCTCTCCTGGAGTTTCCTGCGGAGACAGACAGAAGGTGAGGGGGAAAAAAGGAGGAGTGAGGATTGGAAAAGTCACAATTGAGATTTCCAGTCAGTGAATCCTGGTTTCACACTTTGTGGCAACTGCAACTACTCTCTATTTTCCCACCATTTCTAAAAAGTGTTTTCTCCACTCAAATCCTCCCAACAAACCCACTCCTCATTAAGCAGCCCTATTAGGCAGGAATGTCTGGCCACTGGGGCACGCTGCACACGGGGTGGGGGGAGGATGGGGAGGTGGCGACGGAGGGGAGGCGGGTGGGTGGCAGAAACCGCAAGGATAAAATAGATTCATTCTTAACACATAAAAAGTTGGGTTTTACTGAGAAAAAGAAATACTAGTGTGTGTTAAAACATCAATAATGTTGCACAAAGACACTCTTTATGGGCCCCTTTGATGCCCCCCCCCTCCACCAAACTGCCTCCCCTGTCATCTCTATTTTTCTGCCCTCTACTTCATCCTTTCATCTCCCTCTCCTTTCCTAACTCCTCGCAGGATAGAATGCATCAAAGGTGCCATCTATTTACTGCCCCTCTCAGACACAGGAAGTCGGCTCTCTGCAGACAGGAAGAAGCCTATAAAAGACTGACGTACAGGAAATACAGTCGTACAATTGATCCTCTACTGTATGTCTGAAAGGGGGCACAAATGCAGCTTCACACAACAAACAATAACAACACTGTAGTGTTCAGTAAACACAAATGCCAAGAATGAACATTAATTCTCCAGAGAGGTATAATGTGTTCATTTCTGACTGAATAGTTCACTTATATTTGAGAAAAACACACATCTTTCTTTACATCAAACCAAGATAAAAGCCACAGTATTAACTGTAATTTTGTCGAGATTAGTGTGGTTTAAATATTTTGATTTTGATTCCCATCAAAATGCGTATGCCCCCACAGAACAAACAGGGCTCTGTTGTCTCCTGTGCAGGTTATTATTAGTTATCCCTGCAGTCATCAGAAAAAAAAGGTGTTTAAAAATGTTCACAAAAAAAAGTATAAAAGGTCAAACATTTCATACCTCTCCTTCTCTGCATAGTCGTTGTGTAGCTGGAGCTGCTTCTCTTGGGCCAGGTTTTCTGCTTGATTCTTAAGGGACTGCTCATACTCCCGGATCTTCTCTTTCAAGGCTTTGATGGTCACCTCTGGAGGAATGAAGTTTAAAATAATAAATAATACAAGCACTTAGCAAAACATATAAGGAACAGACTTTAGGAAATTCCTAAACCTGATAAATGGCAGTGCTGATGTTAATGGTTTGGTTGGGGCAGTTGACCTCAGCTTAAGAAACAGTGTTTCATTTCCTGCATTCTTTCTCTGTCGGCACAGACGAAGGCCTCGGCCTCTGAGGTTCCTGTCTAATCTGTACATCCATGACTGGTGTAGAATATTCAATGTTCAACCACTTTAGATATGCTGTATTCATTAGGACTCCATTAGTTCTGGAACCTCATAACCTGCTGATGGCTGAGCTTTGTGTGAGGCTGTCTGAAATAAATCCCACACATAACTGAGGTAATAAATAGACTGGTGTATCTGTGTGTGTGTGTGTGTGTACATGCGTTGAGTGTATTTCTCAGAGAAAGATATAAGTGAGTGATGAAGAGCATTGCTGCTCACTGGCTTTGACAGAGGGCTCTTAGCACATTCTGTGTGTATGTGTATGTGTGTGTGTGTGTGTGTGTGTGAGATTTAAACTCCAGACTCACTGCTCTGACACATAATCAATAGAGGAGAGTCCCCTCAGAGCCCTCTTACCCCTTAACTGCTTAACTGAACTTTAAACATTTAGGTTGCCGGGATCAATGGCCCCTGCACTCTTTGTATATGTGTGTGTGTGTGTGTACAGTCGGAGCTGTGTGTGTGCGTGTTAACAGGAGTGGGAGTTCCAGTGTGTGTTTTGGGGTTTAAATATCCCCCATCTATTGAGGCTGGAAGGAGGGATAAAGGATGAGGGAACAGAAAAATCAATGGCAGAATGGAACCCTGCCGCTATCGAGCTGTTCCAATTAACTCTCACTGAGGAAAGGGAGATTCCAAAACATTCCCCGCTCGCTCACTCACTCCTCTTTTTCGACTGATATTACAGCACTTTTATTGCAGCCCCTCGCTCGTCTCCCCAAGTCAGTCAGTTTGTCCATCTTTCTTTACCCTGAGATAACCTGTTGGTTTTTTCCAACCAGGAAACTGTTCCTTTTGGTTTTTTCTAAAAGCAAGTTTAAGTTTGTTGACCTTGTGCATCCTGGTGGGCAGTTTAATATGTCTGAACGTGGAAATTTCATTCAGTTAGATTAAAAGGTATTTTAGGGAAGAGTTCAACAGTTGCAGACTGACTTTATCTAGGTTGTACCTGTGACTTCTCTTAATGTGTTCAGAAATACGTTAAAAAATGGTTTGTCATTCAGGAAACGTCTAGACTTTTACTACTAAGTCATTGTGTTTTAGCTGTTCTACTGTTTTATGAAGTTCCACATGCCTCTTATTAACTAATTCTGATTAAATGTTCATCCTTTCAATCCACGGGCATCCTCCCCCCAAAAATGTTCAGCTCTCACCTTGGTTTTTGACCTCTGCAAACTCTTTGTTGTAGTCCTCCAGTGTCTCTCTTAGTTTGGTGTTCTCTGTCTCAATGTCGTGCATCCTCTGGAGCTTCAGCTGCAGCTGCTGAGCCAGCTCCAGCACAGGTACAGGATCTGGAAGAGACAACACACACCGCGTTAACACCATGTAAAAACGACACAAAGCAGAGCTACGAGGTGGCATGGCGCGCTCGGAATAACTACATTCAAGGCCCTGCGAGAGCGTTTGCCCTGGTGAAGTGTCCTTGAGCAAGGCAATGAATCTCTCACTGCTCTGGGAGAACTCATCTGGAGCACACAGTGACCTTTGATCTCCCTGTGGAAGATTACTGGTTACTGTGAAAAAACATTCACAGCTACACGCATTGTTATGATTAGAAGAGTACAGAGCTGATTATTTGGAGAACACGTCTGACACAAAATAAAATCAATTTGACTTTGATAGCAAAATGCAGATTCAACAATAAAGCTAAAACTGATGTGACTGTCAAATAAGGGTTTATTACGGTAGCTTTGATCATAAGGGTGGAAGAACTGCCTCTTCTTGGTGTGTGTGTGTGTGTGTGTGTGTGTGTGTGAGGGGGGAGAGCCGGGGTCGCACAGAAGCACTCCTCAGAAATACTTTTTTTTGGAGAAGAACTAAAAAACCCAGAGGTAGTCATGAGTAACACGTTCATGACTTAATGATTTACAGTAATGATTTATCCACAAATTAATTTTTTTTCTACAGGATCAAAGTGATAATACCCGTGAAAGCAAATAATTGATAGAAAACCAGTCTTTGTATAACTGAAGACTGTTGGGGGTTTACAAGATAGACTTGGGGGGGGAGGGGGAGACCTGTCAGCTGCTGACACAGCAGAAGAACTGGATATGTGACACTGAACTACAGTCAAACAGTTGACAGAAACATTACTGGGCTGTGATGAGTGTAAAGGGTTTTTTTTTAATGGTTTGCCTTAAAAGCACATAAAAAGGAGAAACAATCACAGAGACTGACGGTCAAAGTAAAAAAGCACAAAGAACACAGGAGGTAAATAAATGTTGAGAGGAAGAAGAGAAGGAGGGAAGAGAAGACGAAGACGACTATCTGGAGGCATTTTCCCAACATCTCAGAACACACAGCAGGGTTAACTGTCAGTGTGATGAAGAAAGCCCTGTCAGTCAGACCAATCACATCTGATTGGTGCTCATGGGTGGCAGACTGGTGACAGGCAGCCAAGAGACACGGGCGACGCTCATCAGCATGCCAGCTAAAAGAGCAGTGTGTGTGTGTGCGTTTATGTGTGTGCGCTATATGTATGTGTGTGTGTGTGTGTGTTGTACAGATAAGAGGAACTGACAGCTTACAGCTGGGGGTATGGGCTGTGTGTTTGTATGTTTGTGTGTTTGTGCTCGCGCGTGTGTGTCACGTCTGACGCAGTTAGATATCTTAACTATGCTAATAAGAGATCAGCACAGACAGATTGGGAAATTTCATGCTGATTCTATGCTGCCAAGGTGACACACCGTGCAGGACTAAGCTGTGACACAAAGAGACACACATTCAGCCCGTCATAAACACAGGGCAGCGCTTACAGCCTCACAAACACGCACAGGTACAAACAAGCAAACACAGAGGAACAAAAACTGGATCCCAAGAATTTTCTTATCTGCCTCGCCGCCCTTGAAAGTCAAATTTCTCCCTTTCTTATCAAACTTATGTCCTTAACAGCAGCAGCTTTCCAAGTCAACTGTACAGCTTGTTAAAAGCCAATGGACTTGTAGGCAAACTGGTGCTGAACACACTCTTGCCAGACACCTTTAATCTAAAGCAGAGCGCACACTGGGCTGACTAACCAGACCTTCAGCTGATAGAAGACAGAACAAAACACAGCGTTTCCTCTTTCAAGACTGCTGCATTAGTCAGGCTGGTCTGCGTCTGTGTGTAATTGTGTGTCTGCGTGTGTGTGTGTGTGTGTGTGTGAATCAAGCATTACATCATTGTCTCGCTGCAAGTTAAGAATAGCCCCGTCAGAGCTGCCGCTGACTTATTGGGAGCAGTACAATCCAAAGATATTACTGTAGGTCTATCCATGTGGGAATATGATGACCTCCTTACGCTATAGATGAACTCAACTCCCATTCCTACTCAGTCCCTGCACGGTTCCCATACAGCTGAGATTTTACAGTGAGCTGCACTGTGACTGTGACTGTGTGTGTGTGTTCTGTAACGCCCTGTGCTCGTGTCCCTCGTTGGCCTCAGCGTGCTTAACGTGATTGCTCATGTGTGCACTTTGAAGCGGCCAGTCGTGGGCGCACTTGTCATCCATATCAGGATGCACCTTCTGTTGAGACCCTCTTAAGGCTGCACCAGTGGGAATGATCTCACAGGGACATATTAAGGTGCTGCACATGGCTGAGTCCACAGTGGAGCAGCATCAGAGGAACATTGCTACGCTTATTCTCTTGTCTTTTGGTGATGTCGAGACCGACAGTGGGGGGAAAAAAAACAAACTCTTCATTACATTTTGGACTCAAGAGAGGTGTTGAGTCAAACACTGAGAGACACTGTGCACAATTCACCTAAAGTAAACAATCTTACCTGGGACATCGATTATTTTCTTATACACGTTCAAGAAGGCGGCCTCTGCTTCTTTACTTCTCTTACTTAATGCATCAATCTGAAAGGGAAAAAAAAAGGAGAAATAGTTTATATTCAGCAGACACTAACATCAGATCAGAGCACACACACATAAGGCAGGCCCATTCATTTCACAGTAAGAGCGGTCTACATATCTGTCTATCCTCACTGTGCAGCGGTATGTTGCATGTGATCATGTCTGCCACCGAGCGGCTGCATTAGTGTTTCCTTCCCGTGAAGTAAGTTCAGCTGTTCAGCCGATGACGGATGCATTTCATTTGCTGCGTGCCCGCGTCTGTCTGTCCTCAAGTGAGGGTGCACAAGTCCGTCGGACGATGTGTGTGTTATTGTGTGCGAGTGTGTGTCCGTTTTCCCTCCAGCATGCTGACATCATTAAACAGCTGGCTCAGTCTTTCCAGCCACAGCAGGGGTAGATTATTCAGTCAGCTCTTAGCAGCCATACAGTGTGGATCCATTACTGATGCAGCCATTAACACAAGGCGACATGGCATGCATTCCAACACAGATATTATTAAAATGGACAGCATTAGAGCCAATCCATATGAGATAGATTTTGAATATGAGAAGCAAAGTTAGTGAGCCAAACACATGTGAAGTCAAATCGAAATGGAGGGAAACAGATGCCAAATAAAGACATTCAGATGGTGCTACTGTACTGGGCAGAGCTACAGCTGACTCTTCTGGCTCACGAACTCAGACTAAACAGCCTTGTGTTTCTTGTCCAACTCCTCTAGCACAGAAAAGAAGCACAGACAAAAGCCAGCATAAGTCCAAATATAAAGTCTTCACATTCCCAGCCAAGCCAGTAGTGTAGTTGATGGGTGGTTTAGGGGTTCTTGCCACTGTAAACAGAGCGAGCTGCATGTAATACTGCCGGGGCTCCTATGGGAACCTAATAAATCTCTTCACATGGCTTTGATTCATCTGTAGTTTTTTAGCCGCAAAACATCTGGCCCCGAGAACGCTGGTGCCAGCAACTACTCCCCCCTTTTGTAATGCTCCCATTTGCTCACTCTTGAATTTTGCTTCTTGTCACTTTCATGTTCTCTGACTCATATTTTTTCCCTTTCCTTCAATCATTTTCAGTGTCAGTCTCTCTCACATGTTTCTCTGTCATACAATCAAGTCCCTCTGGCACGCACAAGTGCCCGTGTCTTGTTCTATCTCTTGCACACACACATGCATGCACAGTATCTTACCACACAATCTCATTCTCACATCATGCTGCATCATGTACTCTCTTTATGTGCTGTGTGACACTGAGTGATCGGACCCTGCAAGGCCATTAATGGGAGATTACCAGTGCTGAGTACTAATACCTTTCACACACCATCATCAAACCTATTCATCAGTGTCAGAAGGAATGTTTGCATATGTATACACACACAAGTAAAAGAGTTGTTACTGCATCATTTCATGTTAAGAAGAACAGATACAGACGCTCACGAGCCAACGCATTAAATGATCTGCCGATGGCATTGAAGGGAGCCAGCTGCGTGACTCTACAATGACTGGGCCAAGGTCAGTGGTACAGCCGCTTTATATAGCCCAACATGGGAGGCAGGAAATAGACATTTAATGTAGGACACACCCTACAGTTAGAGGCAGGTTAACTGCAAGACCAGAGCCATTAGAAGACCACCCAGGATTTGCAAATACAACCCTGTGGTTCCTCGCTCTTTCAACCAATCCGATGACATCTGCTATTACATGCTCCTCTGCCCCCATCTCACACACACAAACACACACACAAACTCACTGACACATATGCACACACACAGGGTCAAACAAATGAAGTGACACAAAACCTCACCAGTATCAGTAGGTTACTGATGAGAAGTGCTTGCTATTGCAAAAGGTTTTCCTTCCACATCCACATATGTACATACGTCAGCATCTAGCGCCACCATCACTCAGCACTGCTTTGCTCCTCTATCCGACCCGTAGTGTGTGAAGGGCATCAGGCTGACCGAGTATGTGCATGCATGTGACTGTGTATTTGTAAGTGTGTGTGAGTGTGTGAGTCTGTCTGAGTGAGTGCGTGCGTGTGGGCTTGGTGGAGTCTGATAAGGGCAGGCTATGGGAAGCAGAGACTGAAGCCCTGGATAATGGAAAAGCTTATCAGATCAATGGACCAGCAAGGAACACTGAACATACAACACACACACACACGCACACACATTGTCTCTCACACGCACATGCACACACACACACACACATATAACCAGTTTACCAAACTGGGGCTGCGTGAAAACACTGTTACTGTTATTAGTAATAATTATGACCCAAAGGCATCCACCTTTCAATGCCAAAGATTAAACAGTGCATCGAGTCTGTCCTGTGTGTGGGTTAAAACTTTTTATTGTTCTTTCTGGGATCCACATTCACTTAGTAAAGATTGGAGCCCCTGGGTGAAACATTTAAGGGTGAATTACTGTGGGACTTCAACAGGAAGACCCTCTGGTCTTCTGGTGCTGTCTTGTCCTTGATCAAAGCATCGAGGGGTAAGCAAACAAAGCCAGGCTAAAATTACACATTCTGAGAGCTACTCATGTTGTGGCATGCAAGTGTGGGGAATAGTCGACTGATTGATGGGCTGCTCTGAGACTGGCGCGGGTGTACAGTATTATCTCAATAATCATAAGATAATGTCTTTCTCAGTTCCGCGACCACCCACTAAGCGCCTCAGCATGTTTCTAGTGTGCACGTCGTCGAGGTGTGTCAACATGAGAACGGTGGAAACAGCTGACAAAGCCCCAATTATACTGCTGCCGTTTCTTTTCTCTAAATAGACTGTGGATCATCAGCAGAACATGGTGGAACCACTATAAATTACAGCATTTTTACATAACCACTGGCTGTGGTTGCTGCACCAACACAAGGATATAGAAACTAACTCAGCATTTAACTGTGATATTCTATGGCCAGCAGTAAAGCAGCTCTGTCACCATCTTTTGTGATGTGATGAATTTATCTATACTCCTGCAGCCAAAGATGAGACGCTGGTGGGACAAATGTCCAGCAACAACAACCCAATACTACACTGGAGTCCAGAATGACCTCCTCCGCTCCTACCCTCTGACTTTCACATATGGGAGTGAACTGGAAATGCATGGCTGCCAGTGAGGAGGAGTCATGAAGGAAATAGGCCAAAATGATGGAGGAGGAAAAGAAGAGGAAGAGTGGGAGTATGATATAGCGCGTGCACACACACATACACACGCAAACAAAAGTCACCTCTTATTAGTCAAGGTACATTAAAAGTTAGAGAACAACTTTAAAGAAAATAAATATTCTAAATAGAAGAAACATGCCTCATATTTCACTGCATCAACAACAACTAATCCTACACAATCATGCAGACAAAGTCGGTGGAAATAGTGTTTGGTGAGTTGTGACTGGCTAGAGCCAGGGTTATGTGGTGCCTTTTTTTCCAGGATGCAATTTAAACACACCCTGGGGCTGCAGGATTTCATGAATAGGATAGAAAATCAAGAGCAGAGTGGAGTGAAGAAAGATGGAGAGGAAAGAGAGGAAATGAGATAGTGGCAGGAGAGCAAGCAGAAGAGAAGAAAGAGAGCAAGAAAAAAAAAGGCAGGAGAAAGAGGTGACAATTTAAGGGGATAGATGAAAGTAAAAAAGGAGAGAAGCACGACCAGTCAATGAATGTCAAACGGCCATCCAAAAACGTACTGTTTAGGGTAGGGTTGTGCATTGGCAGAAAACTCATGTTTATCTCAATGTCAAAAAAAACAACAAAAAAAACTACAACACACTCACCTCTCCTTGGAAGCTCTTGAGCAAGGGGGCGACCTGTTTCCGAAAATCCTATTAAAAAAAAACAGAAGAGAACATAATCAGCCTCGGAAAATGAACATGAAGAAATTAATTTTAACGCTTAAAAGACAAACAAACAGTGGAGCTGTTCAGCAGCGATCCCAACCTAATGATTTTCACAATGGCTCATCTTGTCATCAACGAATCATGTGAGTTATTCATTATTTGTACTGATGGGCCCTTTTGGCCGTTGTCGTGAATAAGGAGTGGTGCGTGAGTGAGTTTCGAAGACGATGTCAGGGAGGAGGTGAGGTTTGTACCCCAAGGAGATCTGGCACTCTGTGATTCTCATAAAAACAGGTGCAGCACCACCTGGGCCACCCAGAGGCACCGTTAGCGCGTGAGAAATACAGCGCAGATGAGCCGCAGTGTTAGACAACAATTGATGCAAATTGACTCTCTGTACCACGTTTTTGTTTTTCCTTTTAATCGTAAAGCAAATTATTTTCCTCCTGCAGCCAAGTCACATTGCATGACATTCCAGTCTGAGTCAACGGATTCAGATTAGATAGCCAGTTGAGAGTGTATCAAGGGAACATGTAAATCACCATGCTGTTAGCTGAGCCTACATCCTGACAAACTGAACTGGAGCGTAAGGTAAAAGCACAGCAGAATAGGACATTCTGTACAAGAACACTTGATTTGCACCGATTTGTGGACACACATTCTCACAAAATTGCCAAATACAGATGAGAAGTAGGCCAGTGATGGATGTAGCTGCTTGGAAGGGCTATATCTACACCACATCTGATTACAGGACCTGGAACTAGTGTCTGGACTTGGCTATATCCCAGTTTAGGCCAGACAGGCTGCTTGTCTGAAGCTGAGGACAGGTCATGACCCAATGACCCTGCCCCATTGTTACCTCACCAGGGTCGATGTGGTTGTTTGTCTGGACCAATTCAATATTCCCCAGCTATGGATAATGACCCCGCACTACCCCCCTTCTTGCTATTCAAGCTCTCTATCACTCGCCCTCACTCTCCCACACCCCGTCCTCCCCCGTCCACCCACATCCCAAAGTCACGTGCAGTTATCAATTCGTTTCTGTTTTTACTACCCAAAGATTAATTTTTTAAAGCCCTGTTCTCTCACTTTAACCATTCCAAAGTGAAGCCTATAATTTAAACGAACCCTAATCCTAGCTCAAATACTTAAACTAACATTAAGTGTGGCGCCTCGAAGAAGCTTTAAAGTGAGTTAAAACCTGCACCATGTCCTTACAAGGTTTAAATGTCCTCACAATGATGACCATAATTATCACCATGACAATGTCAAAGAAACTAAACCATGAAAAAAAATCACGATTCGATTCAAAGTACAAGAACAAAAACACACTATTTATTCTTTTGTTTGGACATTCATGTATATGAGAACCAAGACTAATAGACATACACGGACAAATCTGTCTGTATAAATATTATTTGTTGTACGTAACTGGTCAAACGTTCCTCTTTCAACCTTCAGGCTTTAAATTTATGAAAATATACCAAATGTACTGTGGCAAAAAAAGAAACGTGTGTATACAGTAATGCTGTCTAGCCCAGAAGAGCTCCAATAATTACTACTTTTGTTCAAATCATACTCTTGTCTGAATGAGCAGCTAACTTTACAATACCTTCATCCTTCACACAACATGTATCTGTTACAATTTAAGAAACGCCTTGACACCAGCGTGGACTAGATTTTGACATGAAAAGTACAGAGAAATCGGCATCAGTCCAGTAAGGCCTACTTACAAACGTGTACGCAGAACAAACATTCAAACAACATGTAGAGACAAGCTTCTCCTTTTTTGCTAAATACCCAAGCTCTGAAAGCCTTTGGTCCACTCACTAGTGCTGTGCCCCCCTGGCCCCTCCACTTCCAAAGATTTATGACCATATAACATAACAATGCACACAGACACCATGGTCAATCCATGTGTGTGTGTGTGTGTGTGTGTGTGTGTGTGTGGAGTGGAGGGGGCCAGACAGCAGGAGATGGATGGCTGGTGTGTGAGCTGCCGGCAGACAGCAGACAGGCCAGCCCTAGGAATCCTCCAGGGAGTATGGAACTTACATTTGCTGTCTGTCTACCCTGCAGCTAAACACAAATGTGTGTATGTGCATGTGTACACACAGACATTCATACAAGCACACACAAAGTTGTTTTACTACAACCGACTTCAGCTAGCAATCTTCGGGCCATTTTACGATCATTCCATCCTTAGCATTTATATCTGTGCAGCAGAGTCTTGACTAACTAAAATGAAATTAAGAAGTGGATGAATGATTTAGTAAACGTTGGAAGCACAGTGAGAGGTGGGCTTAAGAAAAAAAAAAAAAAAAGCAACACTGTGTCAGAGGTAATAAATGATAAAAACTATATTTTCACGTTGCAATTCTTAGGACTACTTTCTAGATGCTACAAAAGCCAGTGAGAGTGTGTATATGTTATTATGCAGACCGTGAGTGCAGTTCACACCGAGTACAACTCAACAGACTAGACACAGTCAACGTGGGCTGCTCTCCTGGTCGTTGAATAATGGATCAGAGACGGACTCCCGCTCAGGCTAATGCAGTCTGATCTGATGTGACTGTGATCTCTGCTGACTGGTGTGGACCACAGAGAACTGACAGCCTGCTCTGTAGGCCGCTCCACCCAACACACACACAGCCACACACAAGATGTGCACAAGACGATGTGGGCATTTTTAATCAAGCACAAAACATCACATGTAATGAAGCAGTCTGTTTAGTAGGCAGCCTTGGTGCCTATATACTTCCAAACGCCAAAGTTTTAGAGCCTATTCCTATTGAGCCTGTTACAGCCCTGTAATGAATCCTGTGCTCATCTGGCTCAGATTCCTCCTCCACATACCAGGGAGATGCCAGGGGCCACACAGACGCCAGAGGAGCCTTCCTAAATCACAGCCTTGTTACACTGATGAATGTGTGTGTCCCGTTCTGTGATCTAGGCTATGCGACTCTGTGTGTTTGTGTGCGCACCTCTGTGACTACATGTTTTCATTTTTCGTATGCATGTTCTTCCTCTGTCTCACTCTGTGTGCTCTGGGTACTCTCTGTCCATCTCCAGGTCCCTGAATATGTTACCAGGGTGATATCTGAAAATAAGCTGCGAGATAAATGTGTAGGGTAGAGTGGAAAAATTAGCATCTCTGTGCGCAGGTACACTCTCCTCTGGCAGATAATCCCCTGCACTGGGCAGGTTACATGCCAGAGTCAATCGTCACAATGCTCATCCTGTGGTAACTATAATAGGCCTACTGTCAACTCCACGGAGAGATGACAATTTTCTATCCACTGTCAACTCCATTCATACATAATTCATACTACCATCAATAATTCACCATGGTGACATTACCAATAATAACACAACAATACTTTGTTTTCACTGTGTGGTTGAAATGTGTTGCCTTGGTAACAGAGATGAAACAAATATTCCCAGGAGGAGAGAAGGGAACACAGGATGAGGACAGAATTCCCTCCTGATCCCACTTAGTAGTGCCGTCACTCTCTCTCTCTTTTACTCTCTCTCTCTCTCTCTCTCTTTCTTTCTCTCTCTCTCTCTCTCTCTTTCTCTCTCTCTCTCTCTCTCTTTCTCTCTCTCTCTCTCTCTCTGTGTCTGTCTCACATAACCATATACAAACTCAGGGACCACACTTTCTGCACACATAAAAAAAACTAGGTCAGATAATACAAACTCCTGCGGGGTTTTCTGTTTCGTCTCCTTAGGATTTCAGGGAAACTAATGGAGAGACTATTTTTGGGAACCTACCCCCGCATCTCTGTGCCGCGTCTCCTCCTCCTTTGCTTTTTCAGTAAATAATCATGTCTACAGTTATAAACCAGAGAATAGACATTTGAAAGTGTAATGTGATTATGGTGAGAAGTGCCAGATGTTTCGGTGTTTTTGTGTCGGTGCATGTCTGTGAATTTCAGATTTTTTTTTTCTTACCTCTGGTGTGTTCTTCTTGAACTCGCGGCTTAGGTCGATTAGTTTCTTCCTGGACTGTTCACTCTCGTCCTGTCTGTTGGCAAGCTGTGTGGCGGTGGTGTCTAGTTCTTTCTGCAACAAGAAAAAAACAAAACACTTTTTTTAATTTACAGAGGCACGGTGTCATTTTTGCAACCAGCTCCATCAATCCTAATAAAGAACAAAACTATATCTGTGTATTGGCTGGACTCAGTCAACATGTTGTGGCAGTAAACTACAGCATCAGGGTTCTTAACACCTCAAACCTGTCTACACCTGTAGCTGGAGGTGCTTCCAGTGCAAGCAATATGTGAGCCATTTAGCGCACCAGTCAATCAGTTACTACAGTGTCAGACATGACAACGTCTCTAGCAATAGACTGTTACACACTTTTCACAACAGTTATTGACTGTCTGCGCCAGATGATCCCTCCCCTCACTACATGACAACAACAGCACAATTATCAACAACAGCACTGTTGTCAGGGCTGAGGCAAGGCTCGTCTTTATCCACATCCATTTTGCATTGTCATTAACAGCTCTTTTTGAGACTAGTTCCACTTAATGGGCCAAAAGCTGACACTAACAAGATATTTAAGCCTTGTAAAGATTGTATCTCAGTCTGCGGCTGTGTGAGTGCTAACAGATTATATTTCTGTTGGATTCTCCTGAACCAAAGGTGGCTCAAGTTGCAGTTTTAACGGTCTAGATGAGGGTGGGATCTGTCCGGTTTGACACCAACAACCAGTGCCACCTCCCTCCTACTTGCTTTAGTCAAAGTAGTATGACAATGTGTCTGAAAATGTTCCAATAGAAAACAGCGTGGCAGAATGGCTGAAGAGAGTATAAAATAAAAGGATGGATAAAATTAATGAAACTTTTCACTTAGTTAACACAGCCAGCTGAACAGAAAGTAAGCAGAGCTTTGACAACATTAGCACATTCAGGTATTTTACTAAATTGCTCAAAACGTAAGTGAAAAAATCTTACAGCAGTTTTTGCTCCCGTCTTCATCCCTGATGTTAGAATAACTCCAAACTCACTGCGTTTGACCTACTTAAATGAAACTACCCATGATTGTAATGAGGCACTGAACTGTGCCTGACAGGTTTTCAAGTACTAGTGCAAGCTTTTGAACTAAGTCTATGTTTATATTATACATTTTTTGTAACACAGAGACAATCTGCTGGTTGCTGTGCAGCTTGAGCTACATCCCAGCACATAGATTGTCTTATAAAGTAAACAAACACCTTAACTTTGTTTTATCAATGCTGAAGAAAATCAATCAATGTGTGGCTAAGTGATGTTTGTGTAGCTGGCTGGTACATACTGTACTAATCAATGTACAGGAACCTCATCAGTGTCTCAGTGTGTCCTTACTCTGCGTGCTCACTGATTCACTCATTCACGCAGCGTTTTCTCTCCTCCACTTAAATCTCTTTACTTCCTTCTCCCCGCCCCCTCCTTTTCCTTCTCCTCCCTCCCATCCACCTCCTGCGAGGCTGCCCACCCCTGAGAGTGATTAAACGCTGCTGAAGGGCCGTTATGCTAACTAACACACTAATCATTTAATACACACATTACCACAGGGGACCTGCAGGCTCAGTGTGCTGACAAGGTCCCAAAACACATGCACAACCCTCCTCACCCCTCAGACACTTCCCACCCCCAAACACTTGAGAAAATATAACCCTCCAAAGAAATAGTGCAATCAAAAACTAATTAGTTGATTTTTCCTCCATCAGCGTAAGGTTCAATTCCCTGACCAGCCACGTTACCGTTTTATCCTTAGCCCATAAAAATATAACAAATGGACTTCGCCCTCTGCAATGGATTTGACGCAGTAGTACAGGATGTTTTTGAAAAAATGCTCATTTGCTTACATGCCATCCTGCTCACACTGCCCACATAGCAGTTGATGTAGCAGCCTGTGTGCCCATGGCCATGGAGCAGCTGCAGTGTCTGTTAGTGAATTCGAGCGTGCGCAGAAGCTTGTGCAGGGCTTAATGAGAGCCTGACATCCATTTTAATCATATTAGATTAACTGACAGAAAATGCACGTAGTTCATGATAAGAGGTGTAATTATTATATTGGTAAAATTTGTTACAGGAAAGGGGACGCAAGGCCCTGCTAATTCACAAATAAACCATCGAACTAATAAATGCACGATAACATGATGACTCAAACATTATGTTCTGGATGTGCTAACAAAATCACTATAATAATTTTCAATCAAAACTTCAATTAAATCAAAATTTATATTGGAACCAAAGTACTATTTCTATTACAAGTACTATACTATTACATAAGATATCATGTAGTTGCACCTTTATTTTCCACCCCTTGTCTTTACTCTGTATATATTAATTTATTTCTCAGACATCAGAACACCATTTTTAAATATATTACATGGTTTCTTTCTTATTTGGTTTTTTCTATCTTTTTCAACCTGAGCAGTCAACCTTTCCCCTCCTACTCACTTAAATTGTTTGCTGTTTTGCTTTCACACAGTTCTGAGTGACAAGTGTGTAACCACAGATTTAGTTCCAGTGGTCAAATTGCCAGTTAAGAGTGTCATTTTAGAAAAACACCAGCCCCTTGGCCCAGTTTTAGTTTAACCTCAGTAAAGATGCAAATACAAGCTGTTCGAATAAGATACATCTCCACTAATGAGTGCCTCTGACTGAGCTTTTAATGATTTTACGGCTTTAGGAATTTATGTTGTATTTGAAATACATTTTTAAATTGTGATAGCACCATCAAATTCAGGATGACTTCTAGTTCTTTATATTTTATTTATTTTTTTCCTGAGTTGTACATTAAAAGGGAGAGGAACTCCAAACTTCTTCACAGGAATTGATCTTATTTTTCAATGCTGATAGAGAAATTACAACTAATAACCTTCATTTTTAGTTTAACCATATAGATTGGTAGACCTGTAATCCACTTACAGTATATTGCTATAGTCTTAACTAAACATAATGTTCATGTTAGTCAACAGAAGCTCTGACTCTGCATTGCTATAAATAATGCAACTGCAATAGTAATAAAACTTCATGTGATCAGTTGGTAGGTAATTGTGGATGAAATGCAAGAAAGAGATGAAGAGTCACAGAGGTAGAGAATAAACATGAAGTAAAAGTGTCTAGAAGTCTTCAAATCCTGATTTAACTTCAGCTCACTCAGCCTTGCCAAAAGCTTCCACTGACGAACTAATTTATTCATGGGACCAATAACAAAAATAGGCCCTTAACAGACCAGGGTGCTAACACTATGGTTTCTTAAAGGTTCACCAATCATCTGAGAAAGGCGATATCGTTATATCTGTAAATGTCGCCATACAATTAGCCAAACATATTACATTGACTTACCAAATCGTCGGGAAAATTGTTTTACAGCTTAACCAAACAAAAAAAAAAACATATTGCACATTTAAGAGTGTAGTGACAATACCAAGTTATATTTAAGTGCAGAAGGGATAGATTCAAACACTAATAGGATAAGTAATAGGATAAGTAATCATAGTCTCAAAAACCAGACTCAGGTTTTGACTATGCAGCAGTCCCTGTCCCAACATCAGCAAAAACAGGCAGACTTGCTGATAGAGCGCAACATCCCAAAGTGCCAAAGTGCACAATTAATGGGGCTTGTCCCTATTCACACACATAAAAATCTACTACACCGATACTCTTTTAATTCTGAACCCCACACAAGACTGCATCGGCCCCAACCTTTTTTGTGCCGAGGACCATTTAAATCTCTGAAACTTTTTTCACGTATCAGCCTTTAAGGTGTGGCAAATAAATACAACTAAATAAAATGATTCCACCAGCATAAAAACTGTTTTTTTTCTAAATATAATTCCAATCATTAAGCCACTGTATGTAACATTGTTAGCATTGTCTCTGTAACATTGCACAGAATGCTTGATCTCCAAATGGCGAAGCATTTTGAAGGCTTCATTGCCTCATTAGAGAGCCGCACACCACGTATTATGCAGTGCGGGCTCGGTGCGTGAGAACAACCTAGAAACAAATCCATCTTTTAACTAGGACTCCTGGAATTGTCTGTTAAATGCAGCTTTCTTTTTCTTTGAATACATAGGCTCTTCTGTCTCCTCACTGGCGCAAAGAAACTTTTCAAGGATGTCTGTTTTTTGCTCATTTTGCTAGTTTGAGGGTTTCAATTTAGCAGTAATGAATTATGTGTTACCGACCGGAGCAGATCTTTCAAGAAGGAAGCAGATGCAGGTAAGACATGTGACCGAGACAAGCATCTTAACATGTATCAAGTGTGAGTCATAGACAGATGCAGTAGAGAGAATCCGGTCTTTTTTCAAAATAAAACATCATTCAGAATCAGATAATAAATAAAACGGAAATAATTTAAGTTATGCTATCTGTGCGATCCGGTACCAATTGACCTACGCAGCCCGCAGCAAACGTGGTTTTGGAATCCCAGTTCAGTATCAGTATTCATCTGGATTCATACCACACAACTGGCCCTTCACAATACCTGCCATACCAGTTAACCATTTACATTTACTCTGAAAAGAGGAGCTGTTTGTCTCATTGTTTGGCTTGTTTTCATAACCACCGGAAGTCACACTGGTGGAATTCAAGTGTAATGATTCCTGTAGGGACACTGACAATGAAAAAAGAAGTGTAAGTATAAGCATTGAAGGTACATTGCACTGAAAAAAAAGGAACCACCAAAAGCTGTTGCACATAACCATTTCATTGTTTTTAAATGTGTCAGTTTTTGCATATTCAGATGCAGGCCTCATATTCAAACAGAAATGGAGCAGGCAGATGGATTGCAGACATATCTGGGACAAGTTTTGTGCACTAAACAAAAACGT